TTCACTGTGTTCTTGTTTCATCTGTAAAATGTCCGAGATGTAATTCAGAGTGTCAGTACCGTGTAGATCACCCTGCATGGTACTGTGGTAAGTGACGGACACCACTTCCTCATTCAAGTCACATCACTCTATCCTCCTGTGTCTCTTACTTATGGTAATTTTCTTACACATTAGGGGTTTGGTTAGGTTAGGTTAGGTTAGGTAAGTTAGGTTAGGTTAGGTTAGGTTAGTTTTTTTAGGTTTTTTTAGGTTTTTACATTGTTTGACCTTCCACCTTTTTTTTCTTCAATATCTCAACTTTTGCTCATTTCCGATGGCAATGAAGGTCGTATTTATTATTAACACGAAGATTTCCACTATAAAAACCCATTTTCAAAAGTCATTTAGGTGTTGACAACTTCTAAATATTGACCAACAAGTCCCCTTCGTCTTGAATAAAGACGAACGCTGAGGTACTCCAGTATTTCCCCCTTTCCTTTGTGGTTTTATCAATATATATACGAAATATTTTTGTTGTCCTTGTGGCGCGGTTGTAATGATCCCAGTTCACACTTACAGGTCCAGGGTTCGATTCCCGACTAATGATTATATATATACTTTAAAGGCTGAATGGTATACCTACATTGTCTATGCAGGTGTTACTTTTAATTTTATCCTCTTCACCCCTAATCAGCTCGTTAGCCGCTTGGGCGATCTGTCACTTGTCTGTTATGCACTGTTGGCAAGTACTGGGCATGCACCGGCTCCTGAATGTACCTGAACCCGCTCCAGTGTTGGTCAAGTCTGGTCTTGAAATGTAAAATTCTATGACGATTTTACTTAATATTTCTAATTAAATTGAACACCACCCCGACATAAACACGTAACACAACCTCAACACCACCCCGACATAAACACACAACACAGACTCAACACCACCCCGACATAAACACACAACCCAGCCTCAACACCACCCCGATATAAACACGTAACACAGCCCCATAAACACAATGACAGCCTCTTCGACAGCCTCAACACCACGACATAAACACGTAACACAACCTCAACACCACCCTGACATAAACACACAACACAGCCTCAACACCACCTGACATAAACACAACACAGCCTCAACACCACCCCTGACATAAACACACAACACAGCCTCAACACCACCCCCGACATAAACACGTAACACAACCTCAACACCACCCCTGACATAAACACACAACACAGCCTCAACACCACCCCGACATAAACACGTAACACAGCCTCAACACCACCCCTGACATAAACACGTAACACAGCCTCAACACCACCCCGACATAAACACGTAACACAGCCTATTCGCACATAAACACGTAACACAACCTCAACACCACCCCGACATAAACACACAACACAGCCTCAACACCACCCCTGACACAAACACACAACACAGCCTCAACACCACCCCTGACATAAACACACAATACAGCCTCAACACCACCCCTGACATAAACACACAACACAGCCTCAACACACCCCGACATAAACACACAATACAGCCCAACACCACCCCGACATAAACACGTAACACAGCCTCAACACCACCCGACATCAACACGTAACACAACCTCAACACAACCCCTGACATAAACACGTAACACAACCTCAACACCACCCTGACATAAACACACAACACAGCCCCAACACCACCCCTGACACAAACACACAACACAGCCTCAACACCACCTGACATAAACACGCAACACAACCTCAACACCACCCCTGACATAAACACACAACACAGCCTCAACACCACCCCTGACATAACACACACAACACAGCCTCAACACCACCCCGACATAAACACACAACACAGCCTCAACACCACCCCAACATAAACACGCAACACAGCCTCAACACCACCCCTGACATAAACACACAACACAGCCTCAACACCACCCGACATAAACACACAACACAGCCTCAACACCACCCTGACATAAACACACAACACAGCCTCAACACCACCCCCTGACACAAACACACAACACAGCCTCAACACCACCTCGACATAAACACGCAACCCAGCCTCAACACCACCCCGACATAAACACACAACACAACCTCAACACCACCCCTGACATAAACACACAACACAGCCTCAACACCACCCTGACATAAACACACAACACAACCTCAACACCACCCCTGACATAAACACACAACACAGCCTCAACACCAACCCGACATAAACACACAACCCAGCCTCAACACCACCTCGACATAAACACGCAACCCAGCCTCAACACCAACCCTGACATAAACACACAACCCAGCCTCAACACCACCCCTGACATAAACACACAACACAGCCTCAACACCACCCCGACATAAACACGCAACACAGCCTCAACACCACCCCGACATAAACACGCAACCCAGCCTCAACACCACCCCTGACATAAACACACAACACAGCCTCAACACCACCCCTGACATAAACACAACCCAGCCTCAACACCACCCGACATAAACACACAACACAGCCTCAACACCACCCCTGACATAAACACACAACACAGCCTCAACACCACCCCTGACATAAAACACACACAACACAGCCTCAACACCACCCCGACATAAACACACAACACAGCCTCAACACCACCCCTGACATAAACACGCAACCCAGCCTCAACACCACCCCTGACATAAACAGCAACACAGCCTCAACACCACCCCGACATAAACACAACCCAGCCTCCCTCAACACCACCCCTGACATAAACACACAACACAGCGACATAAACACACAACACAGGACATAAACACACAACACAGCCTCAACACCACCCCTGACATAAACACACAACACAAACACACAACACAGCACCTCAACACCACCCCTGACATAAACACACAACACAGGTAAACACACAACACACAACACCACCCCTGACATAAACACACAACACAGCCTCAACACCACCCACATAAACACACAACACAGTCTCAACACCACCTCGTCCAGAAACGCACAACACAGCCCAACACACACATAACACGAACACAGCAGACATAAACACACAACACAGCCTCAACACCACCCCTGACATAAACACACAACACAGCCTCAACACCACCCCTGACATAAACACACAACACAGCCTCAACACCACCCCTGACATAAACACACAACACAGCCTCAACACCACCCCTGACATAAACACACAACACAGTCTCAACACCACCTGTCCTTGAGAAACGCACAACACAGCCTCACACCACCCCTGACATAAGCACGTAACACAGCCTCAACACCACCCCGACATAAACAAATCAACACCACCCCTGACAGCACAGCCTCAACACCACCCCTGACATAAACACACAACACAGCCTCAACACCTCTGACATAAACACACAACACAGCCGACATAAACACACAACACAGCCCAACACCACCCTGACATAAACACACAACACAGCCTCAACACCACCTCGTCCTGAGAAACGCACAGCACAGTCTCAACACCACCCCGACATAAACACACAACACAGCCTCAACACCACCCCTGACATAAACACACAACACAGCCTCAACACCACCCCTGACATAAACACACAACACATAAACACACAACACAGTCTCAACACCACCTCGTCCTTGAGAAACGCACAACACAGCCTCAACACCACCCCGACATAAGCACGTAACACAGCCTCAACACCACCCCGACATAAACACACAACACAGCCTCAACACCACCCCGACATAAACGCACAGCACTTTAAAATTTGGCATCATAACTTATTTCACCTGATGATTAAAGACCAAAATGTTAACATAACCTCGCCCAGGTAGCTTTAGGTTTTGTTATCATCGGGTCAAATAAGCTGATATGTAATCTTCAGATGATTTCTCATTGTATATTGTCGGTTTGTACAACAGCTGATACAGGCAGCCCGTCACATCTCCCAACATGCTGACCTTCGAGAGGCGAATGCACACACACAAACTGAGGAAATACATTTGTTATGGATGAATGTAAAGCTGGCAATATGCATGTAGTAAAATCCCCAAGTCTGCTCTCTCTGGGCCTTCAAAACCGATGGAAATGTTTATGTACGGCTCGTGAAACCTCTATCCAGAATGAACCCATGGAGGATACGTTGCTTTTTGGTCATTTTCCTAATATATATTTTGGATCTTATAAGCAGAATCCTTCCAAGTAGCTTAAATCCCTTACTATGTTTAAGTGGCGAATTAATATCCTCACTTTTGATACTTTTAGCATAACAATAATGTTTTGCATATACGATATAGCATAGAGTACCCGTATTGGTATTCGTTTTCTATATAACCTAAAATATTTCGTCAGCTCACGTTTTCTATGTGACCTTCAAAACAGGTATCATAAAAAATGTTCCCCGCAAGTTGTCAGTGGCTGCCATTTATCTGTTATTAATCCTGATGTAAACAATGTACACTGGGTAGACAATGTTTTCTATGAGAGTGAATTGGTTTTGAGAGAAAAGGTAAGAGAGAAGGTGTAGAGACAGACACAATGCAGAAGTACCACTAGTATACATATTATTAATATCCTGCTACCGCTTCTGTAACAGCTTCCAGGTATACAGATAAACCTCCATGGAATAAGGACATTTGTTTCATTTGTATGTAATCTAGTTTTCGTAAATAACTTAAGAGAAACTTGAAAGTACGTGAGATATAGACGTTTAAACAGTCAATTGATATCAGAGCTAACAATGTCTGCAACTGAATAAGTACTAAGACAATGGTTGCAACAGTGTCTCAAGTTCATTTAATATACCAACGACACAAAGTACTAATTAACTCTCACTATAACACCGAGCTACGATACGTTGATAATTGTACTTCTAGTGATATGTAATAAGCTTTTCGCCACACAGGAAGTTTAATCACACCGAGATATGGAAAGCGGGTTACAGAATATCAGGAATCAAAACTAGAGGGTAGCCTGGCAGGTCCACAGAGACGACGAGCGAGGCCCAGCTGACTGAACTGTGGCATTCTACAAAGTGAGGCGGCCCGAGGTGTCTGTCGCAGTTGTGGCTTGAGCTTCCTAACGGTAGAACTGCCTTATAGTGTTCAGAAAAGTGTTCTCATAGTGTTGTGGGAAGGTGTTAGTGTTGTGTTCTAGTGTTGATGCGTTTTATCAGAGTGGTGTCGAGTGTTACTGAGGATATAGCTGAGAAAGTGAGCGATGTGGTGGGGAGGCTAGTTCATCTACGCAGCTAAGATGGCACATCCATGGTAAGAGAAACTATTATAATATTGTTTACATCCCACCAACCTTTAACTTAACACTAACCCTTTAACAAGATCTCCCATGGTTAATAATAAAAGTGCTCTATAATCTTAAGTGCTATATCGCAAAAAAATAAATAAACACAAGATTCTAAATGTTCTTCGTTTGCTCCAGGGCCTACAGTCTATACATAATAATAATTCTACACTGTAAATTACTTTAGTTGGAAATAATAAACGTATAATAACCGTGTAGATGATAGACAAAGTGTAAGAAAACGGGTAATTGGCTCGCTTGTGTCTTGTTGGGTAGCCTCGTCGTTAGGGTATATTGCAGTCTCATACGTATGGCTTTGGTGTGGTTGCATATCAATGTAAATGTGTTGGGTGTGGTTTACCGTTAATTTAACGTGTGTGTGTGTGTGTGTGTGTGGACTTATATTAATATACAGTGTATGTGTATGCATATTAGATTTGATTGTGTATGGGGTATTCGTATATATGTGTACGGGTGATTGTTCTCGTAATTATTGTGTGTGTGTGTGTGTGTGTAATAATAATAATAATAATAATAATTAACGTTTTATTGAAAGAACTTGGCAGCCAGAAGGCTGAAAATATACAGTTACATATTTGGGGAATGGGTTTCGAATTACAAATAATATACAAGTAACATAAGTGATACAAATAAGATATATAATAACTAGATGGGGAAAAGCTCAAACTACAGTTCATTTCAACATAGTGACAGTGCAAGAAGTAGTATTTACTGGGAGTGAATACACTGGTTTATTACAAGATATTGATAATTTTTTCAATGGTTGGGACTGGGCTGTTCTTATAGCGATCAGTTCGTGCACGTATGGGCTGGATGCGGTTGTGGTGTCGAACAGCAATTCTCGGGCTAGGGGTCTCAGGTGGTAGTAGGAGCCGGTGTCGAGGATGGTGTAGAAGCTTCTTACCAAATTTGCAGATGAGGTTGTGGTGATGGTCAGTGAGAGTCGAAAGGGTCAGTGTGTTGAGCGCTTCTTGATATGTGGAGTAGGAAGGGGAGAGAATAATCTTGCATGCCCTCTTTTGCACTCTTTCTAGGTGTTTACGTTGTGTGGCATTTAGGGAGGAAGACCAGGTAGGGGAGGCATAGGTGTGTGTGTCTTGGAATATCTAAATCGCTTACATTTTCGTCTAGTATGTTAATGTGTTGTCATGACACGTACATATTAATAAAAAAATAACAATATACATGCACTACATTACCTGCTTACATTTCCTCCCACAGAATACGCGATTAAAGTCCTTAGGGGTGTGTGTGTGTGTGTGTGTGTGTGTGTGTGTGTGTGTGTGTGTGTGTGTGTGTGTGTTCCTTTTGAAGAAACCTGCAGAGAGCTGAAATTTGGTGGGGAGGTGCGGGTAGCTGGAAATTCAACTAGTACATTATAACAAAGTAAATCAATGAAATATCAACAGTACTAAACGACAATGGTGTATCAAGGTCTGAATGCACTCATTATCTAGTTAATTCCTTCAGTCATTTGTTGTTTAAATAAATCTTCTTCATGTATTTTACTTTTGATTCTATGGAAAGTCACAAAGTACTGTGCTTTGGACGTTAGACTTCCTCGGCAGATGTGACCTGACTGGAGTATGTGATATTTAAGCTTCACTCAAGTAAACAAGTGGCAGCTTAGACCTTTGAGAGATGCTGAGACAAGCACTGGGCAGCTTAAGACATACATGTGTTAAGACTTCGTTCACGGCATACGTTATGTTACTTCAGTATACAGTAACGTAAAGTAACATAATTTATCACCTCGGAAATGGATAACAACAAGTACGGGAATATTTCGTCATCGTTATGGGGAGTGTTAGGTAAGGTGATTATATAAGTCTGGCCGCGTTGAAATTCCCTGTGCCTTCTCGGAGATTGAATGGTAAATTAGTTCACTTTCAAGGCCATGCTGATGATATGGTAGGGTAGAAATACTGTATAGGGAAGGTTGATGTTAGTAAATAAATTCTGTTCATAATCTTAGCCTTCTGATGTCGGCAATTAAATGGTTTCGTTCAATAACAACAAAAATACATATTTTAGTTTTTTATGGGCCAGATTTTCCTGTGTTGGGGCGTGCTACACATTCTCTCTCTCTCGGGTATTATAATCTCATTATATTTCTTATTTTTAAATCCACAAATTATTAAAGTTCTTGTTATATCATAGTTCTTTTTTGTACATGTTCCAATTAGTGTTTAATGCTAAACTCAAGTACTTTACAGTCTGATAAATACAACAGTGAGCACTAATATTTCCCGACCTCTGTGCTATCGTGTACAGCTAAAAGCCCTTGTGTACCCTTGTATATATGTGTAGGTATTCTGTTACTAAACATTATCACTCGGCTTCTCGAATCACTGAGCTTATTTCATCTCAAGATTAACCTAACCTAACCTAACCCTAGCTTAACCTAACTTAACCCATCCCCCCAGGTAGCGTTACGAATCAGGGGGAAATAAGTGGAAAGTTAATCTTCTCTATCCATCAGTAGTAAAGTGTTCTTGAGAGCTCATAGTTCCCATGTTCGATTCTCGGTCGCGGTGAAGAGCTATGAAAGAGTTTTGCTCGAGTGACACATTCAACAGAGGAAGTATAATGGCTGTCTCGTCAGTTCCGCCACATAAACAAAGCCAGACAGTGGATTACGTTCACGGTTATTCTGCCTCTCTTGCTCTCAAAGGACTATGTAAAGGCATACTGTACACACATCACTCCGTCTCTAGCTTAGTAACTGATGTGTGTACGACTTATGATGCATCATTATTATTAGTAGTACTAGTAGTAGAAGTAGTAGTAGTAGTTTTAGTAATGTGTGTGCGATGCGATGCTACTTTGTTTAATGTACATAAAATATGGAACTTATTCATTTGAAAAATATTTAAAAGAATAACTGAAAAGGCAGAGATAAAAATGACGTGCTTACTATTTTCAAATGACAATACAGTGGTGAACCGAAGGTAAATTACAGTAGTATTGACAAAATATAAACAATGGCCCCGGAAAGCTAGTAGTAGAAGTAGTAGTACAGTAGTTTAAACTGTTGGCTTGTGGATAGTGCAGAATATGATTAAAGTTATATGAAGGATGATTAGTAACAACAACAGGACGGGCAGTCTTCAGGCATTTCCGCACCACAAGCCACATTTAAAAATTGTTTCAGATTGTGCGATGGGAAACCCCTGTTAAACGTGCGCAGTGAGTCAGGCGTACACACACACACACACACACACACAGAGCAAGAACACTGGAAGGGAGAAACCAATGCTGTGCAAAGAAAACGAAAGAAAGGCAGGATAAGAAGAACAAAAGAGTGAAAAAAGAGCAAGAGATATATTGATAACGAAAACATACAAAATAAACAATAAGAGAAAACCCCAAGATGTGTGTTCAGTCAGGAGAGCGTGGAGAAGGTCGCCCCTCTCAGTCTAGTCACCCAGCGTCAAATTTCTCTTATTCTTGTGCTTGATATTGACGAGGTTCTCTAGTGTGACACAGCGAGGAGTGTTGGACGCTAGCCAAACACCTTCAAGCCTTGGAAAACCCCACCGCTGTTGTCTTACCAGGTGAAAAGCACAAGGGAAACCAGCAAAGAGTTCAGGAAGGTTCATACTTCTCGGCACTTCCTGAATGGCTTTCTAAAACAATTGTTAAGTTAATGAAAAAATTAATATAATTTTTTTTGCCAGGACAAGAGACTATAAATTTACATATATATTTTCTTCGGTTTAAGAAAATTTAACAGTTCAAGTGCTAAATATAAATGACAAATGAGTATAAGGGCTAAAAATAAATGACAAATGAGTATAAGGGCTAAAAACAAATGACAAATGAGTATAAGGGCTAAAAACAAATGACAAATGAGTATAAGGGCTAAAAATAAATGACAAATGAGAATAAATGACAAATGAGTATAAGGGCTAAAAATAAATGACAAATGAGTATTAGGGCTAAAAATAAATGACAAATGAGTATAAGGGCTAAAAACAAATGACAAATGAGTATAAGGGCTAAAAACAAATGACAAATGAGTATAGTACAGTGAATGCCTATGTGATCCATTGCTCCTCACTGCCAGTAGGAACGTGGATTATTATTATCATTAAGAACACTATTTCATGTAATTATATATAAGTTTACACGTGCCAGTCTATAGTAGTTTATGTGAAGATTATTCACAGATTTTTTATTTTAATGAAAACTAAACAGGAATAAGGAGCAAGTTATCAGAGCGAGACCGAGTACAGTATGTAGTGTACTGTACGTTGTGTTGGTAGATACTTAATAACTCAATAAATCCATTACATGAGAGATTAAAATGTATAATTATTTTGAATTATTGATGACCAGAGTATTAAATTTACTGATGTAACATACGAGCTTAAAGACCCTAGTTGTTGTTGAAACTCAGTAATACATTATAATATCAACAATACCTTCGGTTTAGCGAAAACCTTAATTTGTTGAATTGTGCAAAATCGAAATCAGTTAAGTTGGGTAAACTTGTACTGTATAATTTATTCTCTTGATTTCGTATATGTTCATTAAAGACAAAAAAGACCACTCATAGTGAAATGTATATGAAGCAACTAAATTACACGGACGAAGAAAAGATAAAAAGTTTTAGCAGCTGACTTATGAAACCCTGACCTCGACAATTTAATTATTAAGCTAAGTCTAGCGGAGAGAGAGAGAGAGAGAGAGAGAGAGAGAGAGAGAGAGAGAGAGCATGAACCAAGATGTCTCAGCAATTTTGTATCGTCTTAAAGTAGATAAAACTCGCCTCGTGAGTTGAGAGGATGGCGGGAAGTTTGTTTTCCTTTATACCTAACCTAACCTGACCAACTTCAGTAGTGGAGAATGAAATCACGACCAAATATAACTACTTAAACATAGGTCAGTGTGATTTTTATCTTATATTTTTGTGTCATAGGATTTCCGGTTAGTGTTAGAACGC